CCCGCGGGGGGGGGGGGGAGTGAGCGAGTGGCTGCGTGGTGCTCAGTTGCCGACTGAGGTTAAACCACGACACCTGCCAAGCAAGGAGTTGAGGCAGCCTGCAGCAGCCCTTTCGCAGCCAGCTCTGTGGCTGCCTGTGCTCCAAGCCGTGACAAAGTGAAAGCACTGATGGAAGTCATCTGAAATCTAACAAAGTTTTGGAAAACAGATCCTTTCATTCCTTCAACAGGGGGAGAAATTTTAACCTTATAAATTCTTAAAGTTTATAAAATACTTTTGTAAGACAGATCTAAGACAACTACAGCAATTTATTGCAGTTCAATGGAACATATTCTTGGATTCCCACATTACAAATAGGTAAGGTCAAGACCCCCAAATGTACAATTTGTCATCAAATTTAGCGAATCTAACAATGACTTATTTCATTCTGGTTTACTGCTTCAGATCATTAGGGTAACATTCAACAGTCATTTCAACTTTTCATATACAAATTGAGCCCAGTAGAAAAAGTTACAATCCAGTGGTCCAGAACATTTTAAGAGGTACCGTAAATGAACTTGAGTTTGGAAACCGCTGTTAATCTTAAAGACATTTAAAGTGTAATCTCTCTGAAAAGATCTGCAGATTTAAGAAATGTGGAAAGAAACCTTTTAATTGACTCCACCCTCAAAGGTGTAAGTGCTGGTGGGCATGACAGTGACTTAGAAAACATTTCTAAAAATCTTGTTAAAGGAAGGAATTATTTCAGGTGTTGGGCCTAGTTCTCCCCTTATGGAGTTTTCCATGGCAGTATAACTAAGACCACGTAGCTTTCCGTGTTTCTTTCAATTAATGTTTAACAGATAAAATAAATATGCCGGGAATGGTTTAGATACTATTGATCCTGCTCTGGAGCAGAGGATGGCGCGGGTGACTCCCGTTGACTCTAGTCCATTTCCTGTCGTACTACAGTACCCTTATTTCACACACACACCCCCTCAGCCTATGTTTTTTTTTTTTTTTTTTTTTTAACCTTGGGAGCTCTGTGG